TTGCCACCCACAACCTTCCTCACTCTCTCTGCAGTGCAGGTGGTGTGTCTCACATTGCAGGCAAGGCAAGGAAGTGAGAACCAGTGGGGAGAGCAGCTCTGCCTGTGCCTCCATGCTCCTCTCCTCTTGTTTCAGGAGATGCAGAGTTCTTGGCTGGGAACTGTACGAGAGCTGTGTGCTGATATTCCCCACAGCTATGTTGCCTTTCCATAGATGTTCATCTACTAACATGTATGAATAGACACACAAGGCTCGTAATTCATGACTGATGACTTCCCATCTTATAACCAGTTGTCTTGTGAGGCCATGATTATCTCTAACAATGATGCCAAAATGGGACAGTGGCACATGGAGGCTGAGGAATAACATGAAGGTTGTGCTGCTGTGCTCTACTCTTCCTTTTTTCTGTCATAGTCAACCTCCCACACTGGAAACTTGTCACTTGTGTGAATCTTTCTCATGTGTGTTGGAACGTGGTTGGACTAGTTGGACTCTGCTAATTAACTCTGCCCAAGAGGCTGGAAAGCATTTTCAGCAAAGGACTTTTGTGCACACCAACACTTTGCCTCCGTGGCTGTTGCTTGTCCCCCAAGAGCCCCATAAAAAAGGCTGTCACCATTTCCCAGTGCAGATCTAGAGGTACCTGGGTTTCTTTCAAATAAGCTAGACAGAAGCACTACAGCTTCAGAATGGAGCTCAACCCAAACTCACCAGAAGTATGACTAAACCCTCTCTGAAGCACCATGCAGGAATAAGTGGGATGAACTACAGCTCTGAGCTAATGTTGATCCATCTGGTGTTGCAGGAGAGTGTGTTAATGAAAGATCTCATTCCCTCCAGCTGCAACTATTTCATTCCAGGGATAAAGAAAAAAAAATTGATTTCTTAGTCATAATCAAGCAATGTTTTAATAAAATGAAAATGTTTAATATAAAACATTATATCAAATATTAAAATTTACATATCAACATAAAATTTGATATAAATCAAACAGGAAATATATAATAGTCATTCAGGGGGATGAAAAAGAGATCATTATTCTTCCTCTTGGCATCCTTGGTGGTTGATTGAGAAATGACAGTGCATGTCCTGTCTTGGTTAGAACTGCTTCAGTACCTCAGTTTTCCTGTCCTTGAAAAAATGTGACAGAAGAGTCTGGTTTGTCTGACTGAATCCCCACGAGACACACAGCCTTGAGAGTACAACACCCAGAGCTGTTCCACAGAAATGTAACTGTTGAAATTCGGGGTTCTTTTCTTGGAGCTGGGACCCAAGAGATGCCCACAGGAAAAGCAACTTCAGCAATTCCAGGAGATTCAGCTGGAAAAGGAAAGACTGAGTTTAAAGTCTTTAAAATTTGGCTAATCTGAGGTGAGAGCCCAAGTCCTCGCATCCAGGGAGACTGTTCAACGTACTTGGAGGTATAGGAGCATGCCTTTATAAAAATTTCTTCTGTGTTAGAACTGCTGCCCTATTTACAAGTTTTACTAGTACTGTGTTGTCCCTCTAGTTACTGGTTAGCCCCTGGTCCTGCCACAAGTCCTTCCAGGTCTCAAGAGGGATCAAAGCACAGATGCGAGATCAGAGCCCCAGGAGAGGATTCCCCGTCTAGTTTAAGGATTGTGCTTCAGGCACGAGGTTTTGGCTTAGGCCAGGCCCCTGGGCAGTGTGTTAGGCAGTCACTGAGGTTGCTATTATAACAGCTTTGTACACCTTTATTGACAGAAACTAGAAAGTTAAAAGGATTTGATCCCTTGTGAACTCGGATGGCCATGGAGAGTTTTTTCCTTCTATTCATGGAGACTGTTGGAGAACAAAAAGGCTGAGACAGTTCAATGCCTTTGAGAGTCTGGGTTTAAGCTCATGTGACAACATTGGAAAACCTACACTTGAAACCAGATTTAATGCTAAAAGGTAACTTGCTTCTTCAGGGTAAATGACAAAAAGGAGTAATTGGACTAACCTCTCGCATGTTAACCTGGGGAGTGAAATGCTTCACAAAAAATAAATGTTCACAATTTTGCGGATTCTATGCTTATATTCTGGTAAAAGTACTCCAGTTGGGTGTTACATAAATGAAAATGCCAGACGTGCCATAGTTGAATTGTCAACATGGGAAGTAACACTTACAAGGGAACAGAGCATGCTTAGCACTTTGTTTGAAATCAGGCCAGGAGTGCTAGGACTGAGGGATACTGAGCCACAGGAACAGCATCTTGAGCAATTATTAAAATGTTAAAAAATGCTGCTCTCAATCAGTACCTACTGATTGTATTATGCCGTCCACTGCTGATATTGCTAAACAGAATGCATCTTGTATAATTGCTCCTCCCAGTACTTTTGTCTAACCACAGAGAAAACACTGCATAGTTAAGCTGCAATATTAAAAACATGAAGCCATGGGATGGTGTAATGCTATGTGTGTGGTGTGGTAGTGAGACAAAGTGAAAAGTAATTGGAAAAAATTTCATTGGACACAGCAAAATTTGGCATCATATTTATGATGGACCTGCATGTGCAAGAAATCCATTTGTCACAATAGCAGCAGGGATGTCTGCACAGCCTGCAGTTTTTCTCCACATTGACAAAAAGGGGGCTGCCAAGTAAGGGGGCTGCTCTGAGGACAGAACCTCCCTACAGCCCCCCTGTTTATGGGCCGATCCCAAATTGAACTTCAGGTATGCATTCATTTGGTTTAATCAGCGGGAATAAAGTTACACAAACGCTGTTGTTCTGATTCTCTCAGCTGTCGGATTAGTCTGAAATGGCCACTGAGCGCCCAGAAGCAAACACATCTCTGACCCGAACCCTCTCCCACCGTCACAGCGAGTGCTTCCAGAATTCTCATCCAGCCGCAGTGTGAAGAAACAGCCTGTTTGACAAAGGGTATGGAGACATTAACAAGGAGGTGCGTAGGACACAGATGAGTGTGCGAGCTGGGAGATGCTACAGCTGGACCCAGGCGGTGCCGGCTCTCAGCACGGACGGCAGCACTGGGCTGCCAGCCCCGCAGCTAACCTTGCACCGCCCGGCTGCAGCTTGCGAGCCTCTGTCCCTTCCACTTCCAAGAGCTGCCAGGGAGAATGAACCTCATCTTCTCTCCACTTATGGAAACATGTGGTTGCCATGGGGGGAATAGGAGAGAGGAGAATCTCTTAGTAGCATAATCCGATTCAACTGAGGTTCGGCTCGCGTTGAAAACAGCTGGCTGTTTGCCCGGAACAGAGAATGAACTTTACAGGATTTCGAGTGAGTGAGCCCCATCTTCAAAAGCATTCCTCTGGTAAAGCATCATTCTCCACCGGATCTCATCTGAAGACCTGTTAGACCGAGGCTGCTGAGGTACTCAGAGTAAACCGGCTTATTAAACATTGATATTGGCAAAAGGAGGAGTTCCTATAAACAGAAATTACCGACCTGAAACCTAACAATTAAAAAAAAAAAAAAAAAAAAAAAGACAAATATAATTTTGAGTGTCACATCTATCAGATTTCCCTGGGGGACACTGAATGGCTTTGCAACCACGTTTCACTGCTTATCATGAATGTTCATCTCATCTTCACAGCTTTGTGTAAGGTTCACACAAACAGAAATATAGGGAAAGAATCCTTGACAAAAATAAGTAGAGGGGAACAATAGAACGAAGAAGGTGAAATTTCAAATGTATGTCGTCACTTAAAGGACTTAGCAAAATTATCATGTAATATGTTTCAGAGAGACACGATTAAAAAGACACCTCCTCTGAGCCTAATTAAATTTTTGAAGCAAAATATATCTATCTTTAGAGCAAGAAATACTGAACCCATGTTCATTCAATTTCTCTTTGGGGAGTCTCCCAGTATTTGAAAGAGAGAAACACAACACTTTAACAAGCTTCGCCCAGGCATGAACTTCAAGTGCACTGTCTCTATGAAAAATGTATGGAGCTCTGAACTTCCCAGCGACTGCCATGCCTCCCTCAGTCCCTTACGTGCCTCTGGCAGTGTAAGAGCCAAGGCGTTGTTCAGAGGCGATTTTTTTCTTTACACTTTTTCCCAGTTGGCTGAAGACGACACCGGCTGTGCCGCGTTTCAGAAGACAAGTGTCCGGCAACTCCCGGGTGTTCACACAGCATCGGCCAGCGGAGGAAGTGCCGCGCCGCCCAGCTGTGAGCATCCCCAACCCAAAGAGATAACTTAACACCCCAAAGAAAACCGATGAGCATTGAGTGGGGCAAAGATCGGGGCCTCCCAGCGCGGAGCTCAGCTGGATGCCGGCGGAGCTCTCAGGGCGGGCAGGACCCCGCAGGAGCGATCCCGGCCGGGCTGCCCCGGGTCCCTCTCGGAGAACTGTCCCCGCAGGACCGATCCCGGCCGGGCTGCCCCGGGGTCCCTCCCGGAGCGCTGGCCCCGCAGGACCGATCCCGGCCGGGCTGCCCCGGGGTCCCTCCCGGAGCGCTGGCCCCGCAGGACCGATCCCGGCCGGGCTGCCCCGGGGTCCCTCCCGGAGCGCTGGCCCCGCTGCCGCCGCCGCGGGCTCCCCCTGGCGGTCCCGGCCGCGCTCGGCCGGCGGCACCGCGGCGCGCAGAGCTCCGCCGCCGCCGCCACGCCGGGCTCCGAGGGGCTCCCAGGGGCTCCCAGGGGCTCCGCGCCGGACCGGGCCGGGCCGCGGCAGCAGCGGCACACCAGCGGAGCGCGGGGCGGTGGCGAGCGGGAACAAAGGGGATCGAGGCGGCGCAGCAGCGACAGCTCCGCCGGGGGGAGGCACCGGCTGGGCGCGGGGGGTGTGGGAGGAGGAGGAGGAGGGTCGCCAAACTGCTGCCACTTCGTCGGCCGTGAGCGGCACTCGCTGGCGGCGGCGGCAGCATCCCGCCCCTCGCTGCATGGCAGCCCAGTGAGGGAGGAGCGGGCGAGGGTCTGGCGCTGCCCGGAAGCCGAAGGAGCCAGCGCCGGCGGCAGCAGCGCCCGCCGCCCTCCCGCCGGGATGCGCCCCGCTCTCCGCTGAGGCGCAGCCCCGCCGCGATGCTCTCCCCCGAGCGCCACCGCCACCACCGCCACCCCCCGCCGCCGCAGCCGCCGCCGCCGCCGCACCACCCGCCGCAGCCCAGCCATGTCGTGGCCACCATCGAGAACCTGCCGGCGGAGGGCGGCAGTGGCGGCGGCAGGAGCGGCATCTCCGCGCCCTCCTCCAGCGTGCGCCAGAGGATCAGGAAAGTGCTGAACAGGTGAGGCCAGGGGATGGAGCGGGGCTCTGGCTACACGGCACGGTGCCGCTCGCCCTGGGGCGCGCAGGTCCCGAGGGTCGCCGTCGGAGCGGCCCCAACCCGGCCCGGCCCGCTTGGAGGGGTGTGAGCGGCGGGGCACGAAGGCGCCTGCGGAGCGGCTGGCTCGGCTCGGCTCGGCCGGGCTGGGATGGGCTGGGCTGGGCTGTCAGTGCTTTTCCCCACAGAAGCCCCGGGTGGGCAGGGAGCGACAGCGCGGAGCCTCCCCCGGCCCATTGTTGGCTCCGAGGCGGCGGCGTGAGTCGCCAGCCCGCGCCCTCCGCCGGAGCCGGTGCCGATCGCACCTGCCGTGTCCACGGGCACAGCCTCCGCAGCGGAACCCCCGCGCCTCCCGGCGGCTCCGGCTTTCCTGGCCCGTCACTCGGGGCTCGGGGCGGCGGGAGGAGGGAGCAGACATCCCCTCTGCCGCAGCCCGGGGAAGTTGAAGCGCGGGCGGCGGGCGAGAGGGCGGCGAGGAAGGAGCAGCCCCTGGGGCTCCCGGCCGGGGTCCGCCTGCAGCGGCCGGGCGCGGCCCGGTGCTCCGGGGTGCCGGTGGCGTCGTGCGGGATCTCTGCCCACAAGCAAGCTCGCTTGCCCCCTCGGCAGCAAGCTGGGGCTGCTGGCGAGAGGCGAGCCGCTCGTTTCGCCCCTGCGTGCGGCTCAGAGTGCTCAGTGCAAAGATGGGAAAATTGCAGGGCACTCAGAGTAAATTGTTTCACCGAAGGCGCAAGAAAACGCTGGAACCATCTTAGTTAATCCTTTACGCTCCCCTCTCTGCCAGTTGTTTCTTTTGCACTGCATTTGATTAGGGCAGAGGGTTTTACTACAAAACAGAGTCCATCCAGAGCCTAACTGGTTGCTCTCTCCAGAAGGAGCTCCTGTCTGAAAAGCCAGCTGGAGCCATCACTTCTGCCTAATGACTCTTACGTGCTAAACAGAGCAGTTGCAGCTATGGGATGGTGCGTACCAGCCTTGGCCTCATTGTCCCAGCTTTAGTTTCAGATTCATGTAACATTGGCGAGCTGCTGAACCCGGCTACTCTAAAGGGGTGTGTTCGGTTTGAAGATGAAGCTTTTAAATACTAAAAAATTTCAGTTCCTGCAAGTGTTACATTGTTAAAAATACGTGAAGCTATTTGCTCTCAGAACATCCCTATTACACAGAGTTAATTAGCTGTTACCATTCCAAGAGGATTCCCCAAAGCTTCATTGACAGAGGAAATACTTATCTTTTGTTATTTGAGCATGACAAGGGTTGAAAAGAAGTTGAAACAAGTAAGAGCTGCTTCAACTCAGCTCCACATTTTCTTGTACACATGCATTTTGCAACTCTCCGTATTGTAAGATTGACTCAATTCCTCAACCCGACAGTCCGTGTCACCTTAAGCGTCCTGTGCTTGCAAGATCCCTCCCTCCTTCTGCTTGGTCATCCTGAGGTGTGTGTCGGTCCTCAAACAAGACACTAGGGAAAAGGTGTTTTCCCAGGGGCACCAAGAGGAATATGAAGATGTGGTGAAGAGATCAGATACAAAAGCAACAGGGTCTCGTGTGCAAGGGTGGTAATAATGACCTCTGGGGAGTCATCAAACTGACCACAGTTTTCATGGCTAGGAGGTGGTGGATTAATTCATACAGTTTAAACAGTTGCCATGCTTATGTATGTATATGACTGAGCTGTAGATAAAATGTCAAATCAATATTTGTTGTTCTGTATATACGATTGTATGAAAATACTTAGGTTGTGGTGTGTGGAGGGGGCTTTGTTTGTTTGGTTTTGTTAGTTTGGTTTTTTTGTTTGTTTTGTTTTGTTTTGATTTTTGATTTGTTTTCATTTTTAAGGGGGGAGGAGAAGGGTAGAAATTTGCTCTGGTGGCCAAAGTTCAAATCTGTTCTGATTCATAAACTTGAACCTAGAAACAAGATCTCCCACAGCCCAAAAGAGCAGTCTAAGGAACGGGAGGGTCAGTCACTTTTTCATCATTGTGTTCTTATCTCCTCCTCAAACATGAAATAAGAGTAAAATTCTTCCAAATTTATGTGGTTTATGGAGAAGGAGAAGGCACGTTACTAAGATGATTTAATTCTTAGCCAGTCCCACACTGTGTATCAATGGAAATTTTTCAAAAGTTAAATTTCCTTAAGTTTCTTTCAACTTTACATGGGAACTGATGTCTCATCAGTTCATGTAACATCACATCTTTCAACAGTATTTCTGTTGATACAGTGAAATGAATTCTGACACAATGTTTATATTTTCATCCTCTATGGAAACAATAGTCTGCAAATACATGTGGGAGAGAAAGAAATATGTATGCCATATCCCTAAAGATGTAGGAGACTCAAACAAACTGAACACTGGCCTTTCCAATTGTTTTTCTCCCAGAAGAGGGTAATACTTTCTCTGTGCTATCTATTCTTTGTGTGCACCATTTGCTTGAGACCCATTAGTGGAAGATTCCTGACCAATTCATTGTGCTTCTGTTTTCTGCTACACAAAGTAGGGGATCTTCAGGCAGACATCAAAATAAAAAGGTTGACAACAACTGGGGCTCCCAGAAACCTGTTTATGGCTGGTGGAATCATAGAATGGTTTGGGTCAGAAGGGACCTTTAAAGGTCACCTAATCCAGTCCCTGCTGCCATCAGCAGGAACATCTTCAACTAGATCAGGCTGTTCAGAGTCACATCCAACCTGAGCCTGATTGTTTCCAGGGATGAGGCATCTGCCACATTACTGGGCAACCTCTTTCAGAGTTTCACCAACCTCGTCATAAAAAAAATTTTCCTTATATCTAATATTTTCATTTAAAACCTTTGTCCTGTCACAAGAAGCCCTGCTAAAAAGTCTGTGCCCAGGGAGGGTACAGATTCTGGTGTGGTCAAGGAATAAACAAGACATCCAGAGAATAGACACTGGCAGAAACTGACCATTGTTTCTTTTTCATTTTCTATGTAGCAGTTTGGTTACCCAGGCACTTGCTGATTCCTGATTTGCCTTCCATGGCAATTCAGGAATTCAAATGAAACAATTAAAACAAATTAAAATTGTTTTACAAGCTATGGAAGAGTATTTTACCTTCATTTTCCAACCTCTCCTCTCTGTTCACTCACTAGATCCCAAGGTAATAGAGAAGCACTGGAACAACCCCTGCAGGGTATTTTAGAGAGAGCACACTGAAAGGAGAGCTGATTGCCTGTAAAAGTCTATTTCAGTGATCACAGCATGCACTGCCCTCTGAAAAAAGTTGTCCATAATAAGAAAGCACTAAGAAATTAAAGCACAAAAGTGAATGGTTAGAATTATGAAGGACTGGAGATGCTCAGCACAATTGTGGGATTTACTGGAATAGTTTGTGTATAAATTCTGGGCTGCCAGTGATGGTGAACAGGACCTGCTGCAAGAGGGTCAAACTTGCTGTTAGCCTTGAAATAGTTGTGGTGCTCAGCTATGTGGTTAAATGGTGGACCTGCTAGTGCTGGGTTAATGGTTGGACTCCAGGATCTTGGAGGTCTTTTCCAACCTTAATGATTCTATGGTTCTGAGCTGGAGGAGGATGACATTGAGTTGCTGTTGCATTAAGGGGAAATGTTGTGCTGCAGGTATGTTCCTGGACCTGTGACTCACATTCATGGTCCATAAATCCCATCTGCAGGGCCCTGCCTGGTACCTTCCTTGTGACATTTTCTGAGCAGGTATCCCTGACTTACTGTGTCCTGCTATGTTGCAGGGAGGAGCAAGAATAATGATGGCTGCTTGACTACTTGATTGCTTGCTCCACCAAACTTCTATGAAGCCAAAACTGGACCCCACAAACTCTGTCTGCTTGTAGAGGACCACTTAATAAGCAGTGACTCACTTGCTTCTCACTGACTCTCACCTCTAGTAGGAAGATAGAAAATAAATGATGCGGTTTGGAGTCTGTGATTCTCTGTGTCTCTGCCCCAGCACCCACACAAGTACCTGTTGGTGGGTCCCAGCTCCCTCCATCCAGGTGTATTCCAGCACAAGAGGCAGCTTGTCTCCCTTTCTTGCACTCCCTGGGTGATCTGTAAGGCAGAGACTCACCTGGCAGATTCTCCTGTGGCCCCTGAAACTTTTTGAACTGATTTACAGGTTGATCTCACGTTGGGAAGTCTGGTTATCACCTCTTGAGAGGAACTAGACAGACAATAAACATTGCTGAAACACAGGGGGAGCAGGTTGCAAAGTAATCTGTTTGGGAGATTCTTGCAAATTGTCTCTAAATGAAAGCCAGCAAGCAAAATACCTGCTTATACATGGGCATTGTCTATGTAGTCCTGGGCAGCAGGACAGGGAGGGAAAATGAAGTTTCTGCAAGCAAAATGAGTTAATATCTTTAGATAATTTGACAAAGTTATTTTAGTTAAATAAATGAGATTATTCCTGGAAAGAAAAAATACCATAGCTGTGTCAATGAACTCAAATCTCCAGAGAAATGTCTGAGGCACTGCTATTGTATTGCTTTCCTTGGCAAGGACTTTTTTATTAAGCTGGATGGCACATGCATTTTTTCTGGGTTTACCCACTTCTATCTTTTAGTGCTTCCTTAAGGAATACGAGTTATAAAGTCTGGCTGTGCCTTATCTTGCTGTTTCAAGGTTGTCTTCAACTTGCTTTTTCTTGCTGGCAGTTGCTGAATGGCACTTTGTATTTCTCAGAAGTTTCCTAAAAATCATATCAGAATGTTAGAGACATACTCAACTCGAATCAGAAAATGGAATAAGAGTTAATTCAGCCATTCAGTCCCATCTGATCTTTTAAATAGCTTTGTAGTTACATCCTCTGCACTAGTGAATTGCAAAAGTTGTCTATGGAGCAGTGTGACTTTCCCTGCTTCTTTGCTCACTTACTTGCTTTGTCAAACAAATTTCAGCCTTATGCATAAAGCCAGTGCATGGTCCAATTCCTGTCTTAGGAAAAGGAAGAAAAAAATGTTTCTAATAA